GAATTGCTGGGTTGTATGGTAATTATATGTTTATGTTTTTTAGAAACTGCCAAACTGTTTTCCAAAGTGGCTTCTGCATCTCATTTTAGTATTTTCTCTATTGTCAGAGAAAAAAGACAACGTTTCTGTCATTCATTCATTCATAAAACTCATTTCTTTATTTCACATGTACTGAATACTTACCTTGTCCCAAGCATTAATGATATAACTATAAATGGCAAATTTATTTCCTTCAAGGTGCTCACAGTCTATTGGAGAAACAGAGAAATAACCAGATAACTAAATACAGTAAGAGAAGTGTGTAAGCGAAGCCAACCCCTGGTGCTGGGGCATGAAGAGGAAGGCACCTATCTCGGGCTCCGAGGAGCAGGGGAAAAGTTTTGGAGAAGGTCACACCTAAGTTGATTCCTGGAGACGTGTCTAGGGAAGTGAGGTAGGAAGGGCATTGTAGGCCTAGGAGCAGAGGGCAATCTGCCCTGCTTGAAGTCAGAACCTCTACCCTGATCAACTTTACTGTTTTTCATAGCAGTTATCGCCCACAATGCCCTGTGTAATTTATGGGTTTATATGTTGAGCTATTGTCTCTTTTCCCCTTGAGAGCTCTCTGTCTGTTTTGTCCCCTGATATATCCCAAATATCTGACACAGTGCCTGACACAAGGAAGATGCTCAATAAATATGTGTTGAGTAATTGAATGTGTAACACTAACAGCTTGGATAAAAATGTGTATTTAATGCTGCCTAATACAGCAACTGCAGATGAGACTTCACTGAGATGAACAAAATCAGAGTTTCTGGGAAAAGTGGATGGACTGCTATGTGAAGAGTCATTGACTCCTTTTGAGATTGTAGAACTTCATACCACAAAGTAAAAAGCATTGTCTCGCTTCAGAATTTAAGACTAGACTTGGTAAGGCAAGTTTGCACAAAGGCCAAAGGATGGTTTGATACTTTTGGCAAGAAAACAAAATTTTTATTACATTAGGATACAGAGGGAAAATTGCAGGCACCAGTGCAGAACTTTCAAGTTACTTTTCAGAAAGTTGGGAATTGTTGAAAAGGAAGGATGTTATTTGAGAAAGTTATTTTAGTTAACGTAACAAGGAACGAGGGATCTGAGGGGTAAGAGGAGGAAAGAAGGAAGAACAGACAACTGTCATTCTCTTAGGATTTTCCCACTGTGATTGTCATTTTTGAGGCATTTTTGCAAGTCAAATAAGCAAAAGCAGTTTTGACACAGTTATCTGTGATTTTGAATACAGCTTAAATGTCTTCAGTACAATGACAAAATGCCTTTGCTTATAAAGGAAAGATTTACTGGGGAAACATTAAGATGTCTTTTACTGAAATTTATTTAAGATCTTAGTTGAAGGAATCTCAGCCATTTCATTATGCAGAAAAGGAATCCACCTGAATGAACATTTACAACTTATCTCTTACATATATTTATGTTTTGTTTTTTTGCTGATTGACTTTTGTATCGTAATCATTTAAGATGGGCTCTTTCTACTGAAAATAAATTGTCCAGAGACTAATAATGCTATAGATTGGGTGTGAATTCTATTCAGATCAATGGAAGTATTGTTTTTTCTTTCTTTTAAATTTTTTGTTTACTTTTGGTTGAGAAGGGACATTGGAGGAGATGAAATTGTCCATTTAAGCAGGGCCTGATCGTGAAGTGCCTTTCATATTCTGCTAAGGCACTTAGACTTTAGCCAAGGGCACTTGGGAACCACGCAGGATTTTAATGAAAGAGGTGACATGAAGAATATTCATGGAGTAAAGATTTGCCGTGACTGTGATTTGAACATGAAATTGGAGGAAAGGACAGAACTAGAGAGAGGAATAATGGTTTAGGAGACTTTTGCAGTAATTCAGGTGAAAGTTAATGGTGATCTGAAGGAAGTGGTAGGTAATGGATGGGTTAAAGAGCTGTGATAGAAGCAGCAATGATACAACTTAGTCAATTACTTTTGTGGATGCTGAGAAGGAAATTGAAGAGTCAAAGATGCCTTGCATATTTCCTTTTTTGACAACTGGATAGAAAGTGACATCATTCACTGAAGTGGAGAACACAGGAGAAAGAGGAGCAGGCATTTTATGGAGTGAGACGATGAGTTTGGTTTTGGATTTGTCACTCTTGGGTGTGTCTTAGTCAATTTGTGCTGCTATAACAAAATGCCATAGACTGGGTGGCTTAAAGAACAATTTATTGCTCACAGTTCTGGAGGCTGGTAAGTCCAAGATCAAGGTACTGGCAGATTCCATGTCTGGTGAGGGACTTTTTTCTGGTTTGCAGACAGCTGCTTTCTTGCTGTATCCTTACTTGGAGGGGAGGGATGGGGTCTCTTTCTCTTTTTATAAGGACACTAATCCCATCATGGGAACTTCACCTCATGGCCTCATCTAAACCTAATTACTTCCCAAAGGCCCCACCTCCAAATACCATCACATTGGGGTTTAGGGCTTCAACATACGAATTTGGGGTGGAGGGACACAAACAGGAAATCCATGGAATCCCATGTGAATAGGTACACTAAGCAATTAGGTCGCTGGGAGAGAAGATCCAGGATTGAATCCCAGTTTGAGGTATAGATTTTGGATATGTGTGTACAATAGTGAACCATGCAGCCATGGGAGTGTGTATGATCCCGCATAGAGAGTACTGGGATGAGAAGAGAAAAGGTCTGTAATCAGAAATCTGGAGAACACTGACGTTTAAGAAACAGGCAGGAGAAGAAGATCCCATGGAAGAAAGCAAGGAGTAGTTAGAGAAGGAGGGGAATAGCAGGAATATGTTGTCAGAAAAGCAAGATATGAGGCATTTCAAGAGGGAGGGAGCGGGCTATAGCATCAGTTACTAGAATTCAGTTAAGTGAGGGCTAAAAAGGGGAGATCAGATTTAGCAACACGATAGTCACTGGGGTTCATGGTAACCACAGCTTCTATGTAACAGTGGGCATAGAAATGAATGAGAGGAAGAAGTAGAAAAATGGTGAATATACTTTATTTTTCTTTCTAAAACAATTATAGGAATTTACATAAAATACCTTAGCCCAACATAGGGTTTTTTTTTTTTTAATTTGGGTGCAATTCGCATAAGATTATCCATTTTAAAGTGAACAGTTCAATGGCATTTAGTACACTCAAAATTCTGCTACCACCTCTACTAGTCACAAATCATTTTTAACACACCAAAAGGAAAGTCCATACATGTTAAGCAGTTGCTTCCTGTTCCCACTACCCCCAGCCCCTGCCACCACTATCCTGTGTTCTGTCTCTTTAGCTTTACCTATTCTGGATATTTTATATAAATGGAATCATACACTATGTGACATTTTGTGTCTGGCTTCTTTCAGGTTGCGTAATGTTCTCATGGTTCATCCACATTGCAGCATCTATCAGTACCTCATTCATTTTTATGGCAGAATAATATTCCATTGTATGGATATACCACAATATTTTTTATCTTTTCCTCTGTTGGTGGGCATATGGACTGTTTCCACCTTTTGGCTATTGTGAATAATGCTGCTGTGAACATGTATGTACTTGTATTTATTTGAGTACCTGTTTTCACCTCTTTTAGGTATATATCTAGGAGTGGAATTGCTGGAGCTTAACGTAGTTTTTCAAAACTATAATTTTATATAATGATAACTGAGAATCCACAGAAAGCATTGTGTATTGTAGAAAAAGTTGACTTACACAGTCTATGCTCTTTAAATACTTTATATTCTCTTTGAGATAGGATTGGTGAAACCACCATCCAGTAATCAAACAGCCTATCAAGAGGTAGATAATTGGAATTAAAAAAAATATGTGTATAATTTTTTAAAGAAGAAAGTGCCCTTTAGACTTGAGTTTTGAGTCTTTATAAGAAGAAAGCATTTCAAATGAGGAGTTTGGATAAATTGACCCAGGTAGGAGAGAGAAGATGAGACAGGGATAGGGTTGGATGTTTCATAGTTTAATTTTTCTGAAGAGAAGAGTGCAGGGTGTACTCTAGTTGGTGATAAAGGAAAGAGACAGAGAATAATAAAGTGAACTAAGAGCACCCATGGTGCTAACTTAATAGCTAGCTGACTTTTAAAATTAAGATTGTATTTTCAAAATCAGTTTTTACTCATCTCCCAACAACCACTGACTCATTTGTGTTTAATCTTGTGGCTTGTACTTCTCCACTCAGAGACATCAGTGTAGACGGAAGGAGATTTGAGTTCTATTTGTGATAAGCAGTCTAGCCTCCTTGTGGTTCAGTTAAATTTTATCCATAAAGTAAAGCTTAACAAATTCTTAGAGAGGTGGAACAGGGATTACATTTCCTATGAAATTTTTGGTGTTTAAAGTGGCATTCATGCTGTGTCCTCGAAAGTGTTATTTTCTTCTGCATTCTTTCCTTTGTAGAAAGAACTCCTAGGAATTGATTATAGAACTGAGATTTTCCAAGAAATGATTCTGTGATTTGACCCCCAAGGAACTACCTACAGATTTGGGAGAAGAAATAATGTTTGTTGAGTGTCTGTTAAGTGTTTTATTTATCTGAGTTCGCTTAAGTCTCGTAACAACCAGTAAGTGGTAGATCCATGATATCAACCTTGATTTGCTAACTCCAGAGTCAGACCTCTGTCCACAGTATATTAGAATGCTAATTAGCTTCCATCTTATGTGCTTGTGGCTCGCTGGAGTAGTAGGATGAGTATGATGCTGAGGATGCCTATGGGTTCAGCAGGAAGTAGAGCTTGGATGGGTTAGCTTTGATGTTTTCCAGGAAGACAGGAGGCAGGGCAGGTCCTATGCATGCCATACATTGGCCATCCCCGAGATGTAGTCATGTTACTTCTCATGGAAAGATTCATGGAAAGTCCAATGCTGATTCAGAGAGGTATCTTTTGATTCTGTTTCATTTTGTTTGTACTCTCTCTATTCAATGTAGATGCTCTCAATAAACTAACTGCTAGGGTTGATGCATTTATTCATATTTGTGGTATGTATTTGTTTCAGGCAGAGAAAGCTGATGGATTTGTCAACCTGCCCGATTTCACTGTGGAAAGAGCATCTGAATGCAAGAAAAAGCAGTAAGTTGTCTAGCATTTTCCACAAAACTCTGAGCCAGGATAATATCCCTTCATAATGTTCTTCGAATGATGTGGAGATTTGGAATTTAGTGAAGGTGACACTCAAATGTCTGAGAATTTTGAGCATTATGGCTTGGTACCCTAACTGATATTAGAAGCTTTTAACCTCTAGTTTTCTGGAATTTCATTTTGCAGAGCAGATTGGATTTTAAAACCCCGTGGAGCCTTGGCATGGCATGTTGTTGATGACTGTGTCTGTGATAGAAAGAAAAACAAGCTCCCATCCAGGATTGGCAGGGAGGTCAGATGTCAAGGTTTTGTCCTTTTAAGGAGGATGACTAGTTAAGTAAGATTTACCAGAGATGCAGCAAGACCAGTTTCTTTTCCTTAGTTCATGGAATTGTCAGTAGCACCCTTGAAATTGAATTCTCTGAGATATCTTAGAATTGGGGATTGTATCCCAACATAATTTAAGTCCAAAAGATTTGAGAACTTACAGGAACCAAAAAAATCACCAGCCCGTGGTCCTTGCTTTGCTGAGAAGGGAACAGCCCAGAGAGTCTGGCCTTGCCTAGAACTCATGGGAGAGCTGGCTCTATCCACACTCCCAGTGAAGAGCTGTTCCCATGATAGCATCCAGCTGCATTTTGCAGGTGTCCTCTTCACCTTCTTCTTCTACCTCTGACACCTTTTCCTGTTTTGTCAGAAAGGGGCATTTACCTATTGACCTATATTACCGGAAGCAGCAATTGAATGAATAAAAAATTCATTCATAAAGAAATATATAAAATTATAAAAATATAAAAAATTCAAAAAAAAATGAATAAACTCGTGTTAGCTTTTAAGTTTCTGCCACTCTGGGATAGCTGCACGTATCAAGTGATACAGGAGGTTGTGTAGATTCTTGTGGGTTTGACCACACTGGTTATTTACAAAAACCCTGGCCTGTACTGCAAGACTTCTGGTCTAAATGGTAAAGGGGAAACACTTTATTGTGTATTTTCAATATTTTATACTTTTAAACTAAAAATCTACCTTACATATATTTTTTACTAATAGAGGGTGGTTTTGATAAGGTTTTTGATGTATTGTCACAATGTATAAGTTCTATACTTGATTATTTTCACATAAATAAAATTTTTGCATACAGTCATGCATCGCGTAACAATAGGGACACATTCTGAGAAATGCATTGTTAGGTGATTTCGTTGTTGTGCAAGCATCACAGAGTGTACCTACACCAACCTAGATGGTATAGCCTACTACATACCTAGGCTATATGGTACTAATCTATCGAGACCACCATCATACATGTGGTCCGTCATTGATCAAAACGTCGTTATGAGGCACACGACTGTATATTTGGTTGAATTTGAATAAATACTTTGCTTGAAGAGGTTGATTTGAGTATTTTGAAATGACACTTCTATCACGCTAAATGTTAGTTTATTGTCTTTTTGTAGTAAAGCAGTTAGCAAATGAAAATAAAAAAGTATGCCCATATTCTTTAAATAGAAACTATTGATCAACCATGACTCAGTCTTGTTCTGGATGTCCCGACCTGATAAATTAACCTTTTGCTCTCTACATGAAATAGAGATTAGATAATAGGTATTTAATGTAACTAAATTATTTTTTGTAAATTTATAAAGAAAGCAGATGACTTTACCATACTTATATTTGACTGATTTACTTTCAAATCCACTGACGATTACAAACACTAATTTCTTATGTGTCTATGCTTTTCCCCCTTCAAGTGCTTTTAGGATCAGCCATCCGCAGATAAAGACCTTTTATTTTGCAGCCGAGAATACGCAGGAAATGAGCGTGTAAGTAGAAAAAATCAATAAATCCAATCTTTATGGGCATGGACTTTGTTTGGTCAGGCGTTCGAATTTTAAGCATATGTTCATATCAATTATTACTTTATTTATTTCTGCTACTTTAAGGATTAATCTCTTTAGCAGTTCTAAAGTCTTCTTGCTTTCTTCTCTAGGATTTGGAAGCATTTTGGAGAACTACACTTATCAAAATGGCTATTTGAGGAAGAAGTAATATGAATCTTTTGAGGGAACCGCTAAGTTGAGACAGGAATAGATAGAAGTCATTGTAAGAAAATGTTAAAATCAGAATCAACATCACAAGGAGAAGGGCTTTAAAGTATTATGTAACGGATCTCACAGCTATGATAAGTTTCTTTATGGCATTTATATGTGCTGTGTGATTATCATGATGATTCATGTGCTTATCACCTCTCCATGTTCTTCCTGAACATTTTGCAAAATGTCCTTGCTCAGAGTACATCTAACATAAAATTTTATATCCCTGACTCCATCTCCTGCTTGCTCTGTTTAAATAAGTAGAATATTTGTGTAGAGTACTATCTGCCCTACTCCATCCCTATTGGTTTAGATTTTGGCGTGATCACAATGGCTGTTATTTGAATGAGGCTATACATATATATTGAGATGTTTGAGGCATCAGAGGGCATTCTGTTTAGTTTAAGCCCTATTCTCGGAATTCTCAGTTTCTCATATTACCTTACATAACTAATTAAAAATATATCTATGGAATGCCTGCTATGTGCCCCATTGTAGCAGATCCTGGGCAATAGAAATAAAGAAATCAGATGTAATTCCTCCATTCATAGAGTTGATGGCTTAATCTACTATTTATTTATACATGATGATTTCCTCATCTATCTGCCCTGTATCATTTCTCTTTGCCCTCTTGCTGTAGAAACTTAAAGAAAAAAGAAGCTGCTTTTCACCAAACGTGCGTGCGCACACACACGCACACAACTTCTTACAGGATATCCCGTCAGCGGCCCCGTCTAGCTAGAAGCATCCTCATCTCTTCCCTACACTGTCTCCCTACCACAACCCTTCGGATGAGGGCAGAGTGGCTCCTTACCACAGAAAGTTGGGAAACCCTTTGTTAGAAATACCAAGGCAAGGAATTGACAATTGAGTCTTCCAAACAAGTCTTTCATTTACTTGCACAAGAGAGAAGTTGTTTCTACCCTCTTTCTGATTTTAGCTTCCCCCTCTGGCTTGCTCAAGCATCTGAGAAAAATAAGAGCAGACACACAAAAGAGGATTTTGAACCCTTCGGTCATAGCTCTTTATTTCTCTTTTTATTTGCATAGGTAACTCTAAAGCCTATTGATTAGTAAGCTGTAGGTGTGTGAGTGGAGTGTGGAAGGCTTAATGTCTTGCCCAGCAGTAGTTGGAGCCCTACCATAGTGAGGATAGTGAGAGTCCTTTCTGACCTTTAATGGCAGTGAAACAGTGTACCGTTCTGTCCCCTCCTTGCCTCTTGCTGTCCCTGGCTTCTCTCAAATAGCATCTTGTATCTCCAGCTTCCTTTCCGTCTGCATACATCCTTCCTACCCATCCTGTGGCTGTTGCTTTCAAAGCAGTTCTGTTCTCTCCGACAAGGGGAGAGTGAGACCGCGTTTACCAGAGAAACAATTACTGCTAAGTGTTTTGTTACCTAGTGAATTTTTTTTTCTCCACCTACACAGTGAAATACATTTTTAAACCAGTGAAAGTGTGAGACCCTTACAAGGTTATTTGTTACATTTCAGGCATATTTGCTCTCTAAATCGCATATCTGAGTTATTTAGCTCCCTGCCCACCCATTTCTCCACTTTTTTTTTTATTTTTTACATTTCGAGTCCATTTATCTTCAGTTTTTATGTTCTCCCTTTGCAGAGATCTATCTAACAGCAAGTAGAGCTGCATGAGTATTGGCCATATGTCTGATATATATACTCTGCCCGGTTGGCTGTTAAATCAAAGCCTTTCCTAGCTATCAAAGCCAAGATCTTATTGCCTATCTACGCTGTGAAGATCTATTAATCTTACTAGAAATTACGTTAGCATTTCTTTATCTTTTCAGTGTACAAACAAGATGTAAATTGAAGTTTGAACCTAAGTTTTCCTGACCCCACAGTTTTGAATCTCTCAGCATCCTTTATACACTTAAAAATTGTCCATCTGGCCACTCGTAGGTAAATGCCCATATGGCCTGTGCCTGCATGTATCATAATTTCTTTTATTTATAGGATTGTTATTAAGTTTTATTATTCTGAAGATGATTTTTCAAATAGCCAACAATGCAGGATCTCAGCTTAATTTCTCCCTTCTCCCACAAAATTATGACGATATTTAAAGATTTGTTCTGCGTTAGCACCTGAAGAGCTTCCCTTCCTACTGATGTGGCCTGTTTAAGCAAGGAAATTACGTATCTGGGTATTTCTTAGTGAGATGCAGAGATACCAGGGAAGGAGAGGGTGGCATTTGGAGTGATGGGTCCTGTTTTAGAAGTTCGTCTCCTTGGATAACTGCATTTTTGGGTGGTGACGTTTCTCTCAGGGACGATGAAGGGAAAGGTAATTAAGTTTAATAGAAATGCTGTGTGTTCTGCAGGGACCCTCAATTTAAGAATACAGGGGTAAGTAATTAAGGGTGATGAAAGAGCCAGTTTCTAAACAAAGACTGATGGTAGCTGCCTTTCTCCGTGTTTGTGGGAAGAATGTTCTTGTTTGGTGCATCAATTTCTTAACACTTGTGGTCTGCCAACACACACGTTCACATCAAGTTAATATACAACAAACTCCCAGGAAGCATCTATCGTCTTTTTTTATGTAAATATAAGTTTTTTGTACATCCATCTATTGAGCCACAAATAGAATTTTTTCTACTGCCTCGATGTTTTAAAAAAAGTTCTTAACAAAGGAGGTACTCTAAGCCAGTGGATTCTAGAAAGAAAATAGTCAAACAAGATTCTGAACAATCACTAGTTTTTCACAGCAAGTAATTAATGGTGGCAATTAAAAAGACATGAGTTTTGAGTAAGGGCTGAGAGGAATCTTTTCTTTATTGCCAATACTCTTCTGTTTTGCTCAATTTCTGTATTTCCATGTTCTGGAAAGGAACTTAGAAATGCCTTTTTTCTTGTTTCAGGCATTTTCAATTCAAAAGTAGTTTTTGTCCTGATATGTTAAAAAAAAATTTGTCTATTTCACTTTTAGATGCTTTTTCGGGGGAGGAACAGCTTCTATAATTATGAAATCAAGTATAAACTAAGAATTAGTTTATTTTGGTATTTTAAAAGTGAATCATTAAATTCCTTATGCTTTGCCTGATTGATTTTTTAAATGTTTTTTTAAATATTTCTTGTAATTAAGTAATACATAAAATATATTCTTGTAAAAAAATCATATAATACAGAAGTATGTAAAGTGAAAACCGTCCCATACCCCCAACTTCGCCTTCCAATTCAACTACTCTCCCTAGGATTGACGGCTTTTAACAATATGATGTACAGCCATGTGTCACTTAACGACATGGATACATTCTGAGGAACGTGTTATTAGGTGATTTCATCATTGTGCGAACATCATAGAGTGTACTTACACAAACCTGGATGGTATAGCCTACTACACACCTAGGCTCTATGGTACTAATCTTATGGGACCACGTGAGATTATGTGGATACGTGGTCCATCGTTTACTGAAACATTGTTATGCAGCACATGACTGTATATCCTTCCTGATGCTTTTCTTTGCATACCAATTCATGGACCTATACAAATATATAGTTTTAAAAGTATGTTGAATCAGGCTAAACATATTGTTTTGAACTTGCTTTTTTCACTTAATGGTACGTTAGGGTTTTTCCAGGTCATTACAAGGCCCCCCCCTCAGTCTTTTTATTAGCTTCATTATAATCTGGTTCTGATAGATTCAGTACCACTCTTTATCCATTTTTCTATTAATGGACAACTATATTGGATGAATATTTTTTCTTTTTTGCTATTGCAAGCCCTGTTGAATTAACATTTTTCCACATTTTTTTCTATACATGAAGGTGTGTTTTTGTAGGCTAGACGTTTATAATTAGAATTGTTGGGCAGAGGGAATGGATATTTAAATTTTGAATAGTATCATCAAATTGCCTGCTTAAAATTGACTGTTTCAATTTTCCTGGTCAACTCAGCAAAGGATGAGACTATTTCCTCCAAAAGTCTAGAAATCAACGATATTTAAAATTTTTGCCAATCTAGTGGTGAAAAATATTTTCCTATGTTTGAATATGCATTTACCAAAATACTATTGAGGCTGAGAATATTTTCAATATATTTATTAGCCATTTGTATTTTTTCTGTGAGTTGCTGTTTCTTTGTTTTGTTTATATTCTATTGGGTCTTGATGAACATTTTCTGGTTCCTATGACATGTACTGGTCTAGTTTTAAGTGGCCATTAGAGCTTATGTTTATCATGGTGCTGAAAGGGACTTCTTAAACGAGGCTGGAGCTCGTCTTCCTTCTTGTAGAAAGTCCTATTCTATTTATTTTTAAAAATCAAATTTATTATGTATTTCCTGTTAAAAAAATAATAAATACAGCAAGACCATGGCAGTTGAGGCTTAGGTAAGGATTCCTAATTTGTTCACAATTGTAGCCTTGGGAATGTGCAATATTTATGCCCTGATGGGGGTGTACCATGCTGTACAGTTCATGAGGCATTACAGGACTAGAAGAAATGAAAAGTATGAGTGAATCAGTAAGTGCATAGCATTACTATTATTTTCTTGGTATTGGTTGACTTAGACTACTACTGAACGCTCTGGTTCATCAAAAATAAGACGAATACACAATATGGAATATTTTTTAAAAAACTGGAAAGAAGTGGGACATAAATCACTTAGATTATCACTGCCTCAAAATAATATTTTCCCTTTAAATAGAAGATTGTGTAGCTAGGAACGTACGAAATAGACACATGTTGTGTCTTCTAAAAATTTATGTCGTAAAATATAATGTTCCCAGCTAAACCCTTGAGAAGGAACTACAGTGACCTGAAGTCATAAGCCAAGTTTGAGTTCCTTAAGTTTTGTCTAGTTCTATATTTGTTATTGATGTTTAGCTGGAATTAATTGCCAATAAAATGGTAAATCAATAGAAGACAGGACATTGTCAATTTTTACCTTACATAAAACTCTTCAAGAAATTAAAATTTTCCCCAGCTTAGGGATACCTCTCAAGCTCTAGCCAGATCTTTCAGTGATTGATATAAAAATTCCAGTTTAAAAATGGATCATCTTTTATTTTTTTGTGAAATAAATTTACATTCTAAGAATTATAGACTTAGAACTTTAATGGTTATGTTACTAAATTCAATGATAAAAATTTTGATGGTTACTAAAAGATTCAAATGCACAATTACAAAAGATACATTTGTTCATATATTTAGAATATCCAACATAGTTGCCCATATTAACCAACTGGATAATGGGCCACTTCATTTCTTATCTTACAAAGAATGCCCTGAATGTGAGATCAAATGTGGTATTATAGATTTCAATACCACAAAGTTATGCTGTTTCTGGAAATGTTTAGACTGACTATAGAATTATGACTTTTTTCATTGTCAAGTCTGGCACAAGACCTTCCTTCAGGGTCTAAGGGGAAGGTGAATAAGTTGAAGACCAATCTTTTTGGTCAAATATTTATTTTCTATTTGAATTTTAGGTGGTTAAACAAGCTTGGATTAGCTGTAATCCACCATGAACCCACTACAAAGGATGATGGTATGTTGTATTTTGAATTTCTGAAAATTTAGCAAGAATATGAGAATAGGATGAAAATACAATGTCAATTCTATGTATAGTCTTGTCCTAATGAAACATACTTCGGCATTTAAAATTATCTGAAAATATGCAGAGACAGACGTATTCACACAGACTCACCAACATGGAATAGAGCTTCCCATGCAGGCTAAGAGTGCTTTTCACACTTCACCCACATGTTAGCAGCTGTAGGCTTCACTGACATCTCAAACAACTGCCAATGCAAATGTTTTATTGTCCCACTTACTGAATTCTTACTCATAGACATGATCTCGTTAAGATCTAGACAGATAACTTTCATCCCACTATTTCCTCTCTGGTATTTTAATATTTCCACCAGGTGTGTTCTCAGACTAATTACCCTAAGTTTGTAGTAGAAACCTAAATGTCAGATTGGGACACAGGCCATATTTTTAGCTCAGTCTGTAGCCTTTAGGGTTCAAAAGCTACAAGAATCCACGTCTTCTTAATGATGCCATTACTCCTTAATATTGAGAAGAAGGAGGCTTTAGGTGGCAGGGTCATAGAGCTTTTACTATTTCTGAAATGCTCAGACCACATGAAACTCGGGAGTTGGAAGTAGGGAGTTATATCTTTAGACAACAAAATCATAAAATCTTAAATTCAGAAGTGAGAAAGTGGCAACTTGATTTAAAACAATAAAGAAGTACAATGCAATACTGTGAAATCAGTCTGCTAACCATCTCTTTGGTCCTCTTTCCCATAAAATAAATACTCATTGTACATTGGAAGTACCTTTATAGATTGTGAGGAAAAATAAATAACTACACAAAGCCTTCTCCTTCTCCTGGTATGTAAGGCCTTCCATGATACGGCCTCAAGCAACCTTTCAGCCTCATTTTCCACCATATCCCTTAGGGGATTCCGTATGCTTGGCTCAGCCTGCATCCTCGGTCTGGTACTCCCATCCCTCTGTGTGCACCATTGATGGTTTACTTAGCCTGCTATTTTCAGCTCATTAGGATTCCTATGATCAAAATTAATCACTACCGATTTATGCTCCCTTAGTATATGACTCACACCTCTTTTGAGGAATTATTTTATTTCCCCTGAGCCACAGTTAGTCCTCTTCCTGTGTATTGAACAGAAAGGCAGAAACCCTAATGTGGCCATTCATTTTTCCCTCTTGTGTAATCTCCTTGCACCAGGTAGCTCACTAGATAAGTACTTTCTGAATTGGACTGGAAATGCGATAGCTAGATGGAGAAAAACCTCTGCTCATGCATTATGGAATAAGCGAGGATGGCGTTGAAACATGAAGCATTTTCATTTTTGTTGTAGAATGCTACAGTGAGAGTGAACAGGAAGATCCTGAAACGGCTGTAGAGACACCACCCCCTCCTTACTCTTCGGAGACTCTGTCTTCTTTGGTATGTACCAGTGTCATTAGTATGTTGATCATCCGTCAAATGTGTGGACATCATTCCCTCCAGTTGGGTAGAAACTACCTTGACCAATAAATTCTTACAAAAGGCCAAATTAAGGTCATGCCAAAGAGCAAGTGCAATTCTCAGGGTGCTGATTTTGAGCCTTCTCCATAGCAAACCATTGGTATGACAAACTTGGTGTGTTTGTGTGTGACCTATACATGTATCATGCTCTGAGGATCATGGTAATGCAAAGGGCTTCTAGGTGATAGGCCAGATCTTGGAAAGATTTGTTTTATAGTGTTTATTTATACCCTACTTGTTCTCAGAAAGAATTGAAAATGCCTTGCCTAGGTGCATGCGCGATAACAATGTAAAATGAATGCAAAGGGGATGAAGACAATAGCATGAAGAGAAAATTAGAGTCAGAAAGAGAGCAGGAAGCCACGAGTGGGGTTAGTGCATTAAATCTGCACCTGAGATGATTCTGTATATTCACTAGAGAGAAGTCCAAGTTTAATTCTAAGCTTTGGAAGCATCCTGTGTAAGTTCAGGTTATTAACGGATGGTAAGACTATGTCTTTATATTTGCATGCTCATTGGCATTGTAGTGATGGCCCCTAGAAAGAGTTAAGCAGGGATCTTTGGGAAAGTTGATTTATGGTTTTTATACCTACCATGTATCACGATTTATATAGGTGATTTAAATATATAACCATTTAATCCCACAAACAACCCTGAGCAGTAGTTTAATCTACATTTAATCTACATGTCACTGATTACTAATGAGGCCAAATATTTTTTCATGTTTGTTCATCATTTGGATTTTCTGTTTTGTGAAGTGTCTGTTAAGTCTTTTGCACATTTTTAGCTGTCTTATTATTATTTTGGATGTACAGGATTTCTTTATTATTCTATACATTACTAGTTTGTCAGTTAAAAGTTAGGCAAACCTCCTTCCTCACTCCATGGCTTTTATTTTTTTGGACTCTATCTCATGGTTTCTTTTTGTGGACAGATATTGTTGATTTCAATGTGTCAGATTTATCCCGCACTTCCATTGTGGTTAGTGCCTTTGTTTCTGGTTTAAAAAATGATTTTCTATTCCCAGGTCATGAGGAATTAGATATTATTAACCTCATTTCATGGATGAGGAAAGCGAGATTCTGAGAGGCAGAATGGCCTGGTCACACTCCCAGTAAATGGAGCACCTGAGATAGGAACTCTGGTCTGTCTAACTTTATAGTCTATGTTCTTTCCTCTCTACTCTGACACTTGTCCATCCATGGATCCAAATAACTATGGGCTCTGATAGGTTACAGCAGCTCCTTCACTTACCAGACCTCTTCTGCCAGAATTTTCTATTTAGTGTGATAAAGTTTTCATCTTTATTTGTGTTTTGCCAGTTCTTGGATTTAAGGTGTTAAATCAATCATTTAAATAATGACCTCTACTGTTTTACACACTGCCAGTGGAGAATTGTGGTCACTTTTCTAATTTATTTGGCTAGCAGTCAAGACCAGAAATAAATATTTGTAGAATGAGTATATTTGCTAGAATCTCTGTTAAATAGAACTAGCCAAAACTAAGAAAGATATAAATAAAATAAAACTTTGAATATGGTAAAATTTAGACATTTTGGAACTAGACTTAGCTGATATCCTTTCTCAATATATTCATAGCTTTTCCTTAATGTAATCTTTCTCCTTTGAAAAAAATCAGTTTCTGAATTTAGAAAAGGCTTTTATTTTCTCTATATCACTCAAATTTAATGCTATCTCCAGAACTTAAAGTGTCTCATAGCTTTTAACAACTTTCTTATTGGATTACTCGTTATTGCTCCTAGGGAAGTTATCAACTTTGTGCTGAGTAGGTCTGCAATAGATGTGCCTTATTGCTTTAATAGAGAAGCATATATTTTTATTTAATTTCTCTCTGTCTCTGGCTTTATTTCTCTGTGTATCTCTCTGTCTGTCTCTCCCTGTCTCTGTCTCTGTCTCTCTCTGTGTCTCCCTGTCTCTGTCTCTCTCTCTCTCTCTCTCTGTGTCTCCCTGTCTCTGTCTGTCTCTCCTATTTTAACCCACAACATACAAGGATTTAGTTGGTTCTCCCTCCTTCTCTTCCTGAAATTCCCTCTCCCTCCCACTGTCCCCTCCAATAAGACTCTTATGATTTATTTTAGTTCTGAAATACTGTGATTCAGTCTTATAATGGCAAACTAATATCACAGATTACTTGACTAAGAGCATTGACAGGCATCTAGAATGCTACTTGAAAGTAAAAGTAACCAAATTGTCTTCTTAGATGAAGGATCACGGCTCAATTGCATTATACAATGTCAGTCTTACCTGATGTTACAGTAGAAGCTCAGCGAATGCTTGTTTCAAAACAATTAAATGAAAGGATGCATATGAGACCAGTAAGTTAGGTCACTGCAGTGGGAGGATTCTTTAGAATTTTCTGAATCGTCATCAAATGTTATTTCTTCAAGTTCTAAGTTGAGCATTTTTTGGAAGGCCACTAAGGCCAACATTTTTTTTCTGAAGAAATACATTGGAAATAGATAAATGTTGAACAATTAGATTTTATTTTCCCTAGAAACAGAATATGTTCCTCCTGCTCACATATTTCCTAAGCAGATTTTGTTTTTGTTTTCTCTTGTTTCTGAAAAACAGACATGCAAGACACTTGGTTGAAATAACATTTACACTTTTTATTTAAACAGATGAAATTCAAAAAATCATGATAACTTTTATCCAGAGCGTGAATCAACTTATTGTTTTGGCTCAATCTGGCATAGGCTAGCCATATGACTGATCTATATAAGCATAAGCAAAAAAAAATTTTTTTTCCCAAGTTCTTGCTTTTTTAGAAAAATATCTTGGATAGTGAACTTTCATTTTGGAATGATGAACTCAAAAGTATAAAATAATACTATTCTGAAAAATTATCTCAAACATTTTAAAATCTTGAATTAAAAATTTAATTCAATGTCTAATCATTCTAACTGCTATAAGATTTCAGCACTGACCCGTGTGGACCTCTGCTTCTAATGGGCGGGATCATATTCCACAAGAGAAGAACATTTCAGAGTCTTTCCTGAGTGAACAAGAGGTTTCTGTTTCTGTCCTTCTTCTTGAGAAGTCTTCACAGAATGAATAGTGAAAAGGACACCCATTTATTCACAGAGAAATTAGAAATGGGGAACTTTTTGACAGCCTTTGAAAAAGCTCGTAATAGGTGGGACTCCATAGGTTTCATTTTGGAAGATCCTTTGTAGAAATCACTACATGTGAATCCTTAAAACTCATAAAAAGAGCAAAAAAGGAACTGACTTCATTCGCATTTCAAACTCAATAATATCATAAGTTACAAAGTGATTTCAGAGCTTAAAGATCAATAAAAATCTGTGACATATATTTTTCCTCTAAGTTTAATTTTTAAAAAGCATTGTCCGATAACTTGATCTATGCTTATTCATTCCTTTAACAGATATTTGAGAGCCACTGTTGTAAATACTTGAGACACATTAGTAAATAAAAAAGACAATGATTCATTTCTTCATGGAGCCAAACTTCTAGTTGAGGAAGACTGATAATAAACAATCAACATAGTAGGCAAATTATCTGCTATGTCAGTAGAAGCAGTAGGGCTGGGTGATTAAGCAGAGATCACAAGTGCTGGTGGTTAGGTTGTGGCAATGAATAGGGTAGCCAGGACAGGCCTTAGTGAGAGCTGAGATCTGAGCAAAACTCTTGAAAGGCAGTGTGAGAGTCAGCCAGGTGGATATTCAGGGGAGGAATTTTCCAAGCAAAGGGAACAGTTAGAATCAAGATCTCCTTGGTGCATAGATGGCCTTGCAAGGTGGCCAGTACGGCTGGAGCAGGGTGAACAAGGTGAGCTTAGCAGGAAATGAGGTTGGAGCGTAGTTGTGGCCATATGATGTAGGGCCTATGGGCCACTTAAGGACTTTTGATATTTTGAGTTACTTAGGGAGCCTTTGGGAGTTTTTAGCAGAGGAGTGATGTGATCAATTTCCATTTTTGAAAAGACCACTCAGGCTGCTGTGAGGGAGAGCCCCTGGGAGGTAGGACGTAAGTAGAGAAGCAAAGAAACCTAAGGGAGGGTATGCAGTAATCTGATGGGAAGGGTGGTGGACATTCAGATCAGGGAGATCACAGCTGAGAAATGGACTGGTTGGATTTTGAACACAGCTGGAAGATAGACCAGCTAACAGGTGGATCAGATATCAGAGAAACTGAGAAGATAAATATTTATAATCCCAGTTTCAAGCAGCTCATGCAGATTATTTTTACATGACAGTCTTCATATTTTGATGCTTTTCCGAAGTACAATTCTTTTATATTCAAATGATGAAAAAAAATCAGCTGAAGCAAACTGAAGAAGCAGTAAGTAAAAACAAACCCTGCAAACTGTGGCCCATTGGCCCGTAGCAGAGGAGGAAGTCAAAGATTAAACGCAGAAAGGGGTAAAATCAATTTTAGAAATTAGAATTTAATCTCAGCAGGACGGATCTTGCACGGTTGTTTTCTAAAAGTCACTTGATTTTTCGATATGGGTGCCATACAAAACAATAGAAATGATCGCAAGTGGGATAGCTGTATGAAAAATTGCTGGTGACTATATGAAAAGGAATAGATAGAAAGAAAAATTCATCCTCCCTCCTCATAAGCTCTATGGTTAAGCATTTAACTAATTTTAAAACTTTTCTAAAATTAGCTTTTACATCTTTGCCTCTTGCTTTAACAGTTCTTCTTCTCAGCCTACTCTGCTGGCAGTCCATCACAAGGCGTGGTGGCTGTCCCACGTCCTCTCTCGTGCTTTCCATTCCCACTGCCGCTGCCTAGTCGGGGCCCGCATTAGCCCTTGCCCAAGTTATTGAAATAGCAGGCTCTTTTTCTTTCTCTGTCTCTAATCTCTCTCTCCTCTTAGAAACCACTTCCAAATTGGTCTTCCTAAAGTGCACTTCTGATAATATTGAT